CCAGGGACCCTACAGTCCCGGGAGGGTGTGTCTCTGGCTCCTTGGGGAATGTCAGGTGGAAGGAGAGGGAAGTCCAGTTTACAACCCAGAGATGATGGAGCCCGGGCGGCCCACGGGAGGGTCTGGAAGCCATACATGTCCCAGACACATGGTCTACCAGATGTACCGGTTAATAATGCGGATTTTCCCCAATAGACGGAGTCACACGTATGTTGATCTAGATGCGATTTGATATGTACGCTGTTTGGTTGTATTGCTCCTTCAGATTCCCACTTGTTCCGATCGATGGCACACGCACTTTCTGAGCGGCACTTCAAAATGTACGAAGAAGTGGAAAATTGGGGCTCTGAATGGTCGGCCTCAAAACAAGAAAAGTTCTATTGGGACGGTCTCCACAAATCACCTGAAAGATGGGGAAATGTGTGGCCAACGATGGACATTACTCTGAATAAAGCACTTTTGATGTTTCTCTTGAAATTATCATGTTTTCTTTGATTACAAAATCCTCATTTGTAACCGGTTAACAGCTAATCCGCATTTTTAACCGGTGTCCACATTTTTAACCGGGTCCCCACCCGGGGCCAGCTTCTAGGACTATAATCTCCCGGGTTCTCGGGCCCCATTCTAGGTTCCCAAAAGACAGGTCAGTTCAGAGTCATGCACATGACTTATTCTCAGAATCATATTCTTGATTTTATTTATTATTATTATTTTTAATAATTTTATTGATTTCAGAGAGGAAGGGAGGAGAGAGAGATAGAAACATCAATGATGAGAGAGAATCATGGATCGGCTGCCTCCTGCACTCCTCACACTGGGATCGAACCGCAACCCGGGCCTGTGCCCTGACCAGGAATCGAACTGTGCCCTACTGGTTCATAGGTCGACCCTCAACTGATGAGCCACGCCGGCCATATTCTTGACCTTAGACTAGTGGCCCATCTGCTACCCATGGCTACTATGACATTCATGTTTGTGGTGGGGTCAGTGGTGGGCTGGCATCTGAGGGGTTGAAAGGGAGCAGAGCTGGCCCCTAACTCCACCGGCCTTGACATCAGCTGGGACCCAGATGGGAGAGGTGGCCCCCAGGAAAGAGTCCAGGTGACTGGCCAGGGTCCAGGAACCGAGGGTTCTGTAGTGAGTGTAACAGTGAAGGGCCAAGGGTCAGGGCACATAGCAGTGATGACACAGGGGCAGGGGCAAGGGGGCCTAAAGAAGGAGGAACGCTCTAGACTGGGAGGATGGACAATTTCCGGAAGGAGGGAGCCATGGAAGGCATGTGAATGAGGATTTTGGAGGAAGGGAGCTCAGACACTACCCTGGTTTCCATGGGGACCAAGGGGAGCGGGCCTTGGGGGTGGACATGGTCCACAGGAAAAAAGCAATTTTAGGGCAGGCGTGAGAAGTGTGCTCTCCTGGGTTCTGCAGCCCCTGCCCCTTGTTCTAGAACATTCTCTGGGCAGCTCTGGGTGAGAGGGAAACCCCTTCAGGGAAACAAAAAGACTCTTTCACTGGGTCTTTTCCTACAAGGCCAAAAGGATAGTTTTCACCTTTGAGGATAGTTGAGTTCAAGACCAAAGTCCAGAAACAAAAATGACCAAGAGAATATGACATCTGATTGACAAGAAGGATATTTTATTGAGAGCTGATCAGGTGCAGGGAGAAGAAAGAATGGGTGTGAAGGCAGGGAGATCCTCCTGGGGGTCCTGGAGCTCTAGGCCCCCAAGGGTGAGAGGACTCAGGTCCTAGGAGCACTCCGAGGGGGCCACTGTCTTCTCCACGGTCTTCCCGTCGTGCGTGACCTGGCAGCTGTAGGCGCTGGCGGACTTCCAGTCTTGGCTGGACACGCTCAGGTAGCTGCTGGCCGCGTACTTGTTGTTGCTCTGCTTGGAGGGCTTGGTGGTCTCCACGCCCTGGGTGACGGGGGTGCCATTTGCCTTCCAGGCCACTGTCACGCTGCCCGGGTAGAAGTCACTCATGAGACACACCAGTGTGGCCTTGTTGTTGGCGAGCTCCTCAGCGGATGGCGGGAACAGAGACACGGAGGGTGCAGACTTGGGCTGACCTGTGGGTGCGGGAGGGGCAGGAGGGGAGAGGCTCAGGGTCCATCCTGAAAGCTCCTGACCTCGGTCTTCCTGTGGGCACAGTGTCCTGAGGACCATGCAGGACCCCGAGGGCAGGGGCCTCTCTGGGTGTGAGAGTCCATGCCGTGCAGGGCAATTTGGGGTTTTCGTAGCTCAACTCCCCATTTTCCTGAGAAACCCTGAGCCTGGAACCTGCCATCACCGTCCTTGTGGGCCCCGTTCTGCCCCCCACACATCTGACTGTCACCCTCTGGCTCTGCCTTCTCCCGGTATCTGACTGGGCCTGTCTGTGTCTGTCCGTCTGTTTGTCCCACAAAAGATGCTCTGAGCCCTCTGACCTCCTGCTGGGTCCATCTGTAGACACCTCTTACCCGATCCTCTGTGCTGGGGTCTTAGGTTCTTTGCCCTCGGGGTTCCATTCCCCGCCCCAATCTACCTGTCCTGGACTTTCTCTTAAGTTAGTATGAGTTTTGCTGCTGAACAAAATATCTCTCGGTCTCTCCCTGGGTCTCTCTCATTCTACAGTCAATGGAGTCCCCGCTAGTCGGTCACATCACTGGAGCTTTTATGCCAATAGTTGTACGTTACCTTCTGAGAGGATGTTCATCCTGCAGAGACCAAAGGCCACCTTGTCCTCATACCTGTCCTTCCATGGCCCTTCCTCCAGCACCTTCTCCTCCCCCCTGTGCCCTTCCTCCTGCAGGCTTCCCTGGTGCGAGGCTGGTCAGGACTCCGCATGGCAGCTCCATGCAGCCCCGGGGAGCCCTGCACCTCAGCACCATTCCTGGCCCCTGTTCATGAGCCCACAGTCCCTGAGACCTGCCCTGAACCTCTGACCTGGGTGTCTCTAGCCTTGGCCCTGACCGTCTGGGTCACCCAAAAATTTCCACCCGGTTTCCCCTCAGTACTTCTCTTCCTCGCTTCCCCTTAAGACAGGGGCCACTGGTGACTTGCAGATATAAATCTTGTCCCACAGGAGCCCATCAGGGGAAGACAGAACAGAGCCAACTAGAATCCAGCATGACCCTCGCAGACAGACAGAAGAATCCACAAGGCATCCTGTCCATTCCCCTGTCTCTGAGGTCAGAGGTGAATGGCTGAAGGTGACCAAGTAGGACAGTAAGAACAGGGGTGGGAAGACCTCAGGTCCCCAAGGGCTGGGATCCTGGGTGAAAGCTTGGCCACAGGCTGAGGCAAGACCAGAAAAAGAGCAATAATAGCAGAAAACAGCCCAAACTTTGTAGGGGAGCAGGGAAGGAGGGGGAAGGAGAGACTCACCTAGGACGGTCAGCTGGGTCCCTCCGCCGAACACATAACACTGTGACACAAGCTCATACAAAAACCTCTCTCTGGAGGCCCTGCCCACCCTTGAGCCCACCCCCCTCCCCCTGCAGCTGTGATGGAGGAAGCCTGGGCCACTGCCCCAGGGGGTGTCTGGTCTGCAAGGGGCACACACACTGTCCCCCCTTTCAGACCAGCAGGTGACAGGATAGGGGACACAGTGCATTGCACAGGGAAAGAATTCTGGAAGCAGTTCTCCCAAAGGAATTAGGTGTTTGACAGGCTGTTTCCACTCTGCTCCGCTGGGATGTGGGATGAGTATGGTGGGCATCTGTGTCACTGTGCGGGACATTCCATGGGAACGGGTGGCACACCTCTCTTATGTGGAAACACCCCTAATCCCTGGTGAGAGCATGAGGGGAGGGCAGTGCGTATTCCCTCTGCCCCCCTCCCCTTCCAGGGAAAGACAGGTTGGTCTGTGTAGAGTGTCTACTGGCAACTTCCTATGTTCCCAACCATCTGATCAAGACCTCTGGGACTGTAATCTTTGTCAACCTGCCCTTTAGGGTGAGCTTGAGGGTGTCTCCTGCGATTCTTTCCAGGGGTGGAGTGGCGTGGGGGTGCTGTGTCACCGGAGAGACCTGACCTTGCCCATAACCCACAGGCCACACTCCCCTGATCTGAGATTGCCTGACCTGCCTGTACTCCGCTCCTGAATTCCAGTGGATATGCCCTCCCTGGGCCGCACTGGATGCCCATTCTGTGCCCAGGAAGGTGCCCTTTCTGATCCATCAAGGTCAATTCCCACGTCCCCTCCACCTGAGGCCTGATATCACCTGCTCCATCCTTAAACAAACCCCCAAAACTCTCAGGTTGATCTGACTTCAGGGTTTGAGATCTTTATGATGGAGGTCCCAGGCCTACGCTAGGGTCACCATGAGTCTGAGTCTGACCCAAGACCATGAGAACATAAACTGAGCTTCCTTGTGCCTCATCCTCAGCCCAGCTTCCCAGCACCATGAGTTCCAGGCTCCCTGAGTTGGTACGGGGTGTGAGCATGATTGGGCAATTGTTAGGTTATATTGTATTAAACTGTTTCTCTGCTGTATGACTTGTCAGTGTCTTTGTGACTTAACATGAAAAGTCAAAGTTTGACAAACGCACCATGGGAGGCACTGTTGAAAGCTTTTCATGATTTTAAGGCGAGGAGTCAACCTTCACCTGGTAATGGCTCCCCCATTGGGCTCCATGATGGGAACGGGAAGTTCAATGTCTGTTCCCAAGGACCGTAGCCTTGGTTCCATGATTTTCTTCCCAATATTTCCATCTGTAGCCCACCTTGCACTCATGGTCCCTCTTCAATTCTCCCTGATCCCTCCTCAGGGCTCTTGAATCCCTCTCACTCAGCCCTTGACCCTTTGCAGGTGACCAGGACTTGTCCCAGGGTCTGGTCCCACAGGAGAAGTTCCAGCCTTGGGTCGCAGCGCCCATGGGCACTCAGAACTGATTCAGGTCCCTGGTGGGTGAGTGGAGTGGACCTCAGGTAGGTCCATGTCATGTCATTCCTGTCCTGCCCTTTATTACCGACCCTTCAACCTAGAGACCCTCCCCCACACAGAACACACATGCGAAATGTCAGATGAGAAATGACAGGAGTTTATTCAGGAGAAGGGGAAACGGGGAGGGATGGCCACCTGCCCAGTCTGAGTGACCAGGGCAGGAGCCACAGGGGGAAAGAGGGGAGCAGGGGAAGGGAGGGTCTGACGGAGAAGTGTCTCCAGAAGTGGGGACTCAGGTCCTAGGAACACTCTGAGGGGGCCACTGTCTTCTCCACGGTCTTCCCGTCGTGCGTGACCTGGCAGCTGTAGGCGCTGGCGGACTTCCAGTCTTGGCTGGACACGCTCAGGTAGCTGCTGGCCGCGTACTTGTTGTTGCTCTGCTTGGAGGGCTTGGTGGTCTCCACGCCCTGGGTGACGGGGGTGCCATTTGCCTTCCAGGCCACCGTCACGCTGCCCGGGTAGAAGTCACTCATGAGACACACCAGTGTGGCCTTGTTGTTGTTGAGCTCCTCAGCGGATGGCGGGAACAGAGATACGGAGGGTGCAGACTTGGGCTGACCTGTGGGTGCGGGAGGGGCAGGAGGGGAGAGGCTCAGGGTCCATCCTGAAAGCTCCTGACCTGGGTCTTCCTGTGGGCACAGTGTCCTGAGGACCATGCAGGACCCCGAGGGCAGGGGCCTCTCTGGGTGTGAGAGTCCATGCCGTGCAGGGCAGTTTGGGGTGTTCGTAGCTCAAGTCCCCATTTTCCTGAGAAACCCTGAGCCTGGAACCTGCCATCACTGTCCTTGTGGGCCCCGTTCTGCCCCTACACATCTGACTGTCACCCTCTGGCTCTGCCTTCTCCTGGTATCTGACTGGGCCTGTCTGTGTCTGTCTGTCTGTTTGTCCCATAAAAGATGCTCTGAGCCCTCTGCCCTCCTGCTGGGTCCATCTTTGGACGCCTCTTACCCGATCCTCTGTGCTGGGGGCTTTGGAGCATCTGCCCAAGGGCTCAGTTTTCCCCCCCCACATCTATGTCTCCTGCTCCCTGTCTAAACTGGGTGGCATTTTTTTTGATGAAACAGAAACCTGTCTGTCTGTCATTATGTGGCTTTCATTCTATAGTCAGTGCATCCCCATGAATTGTTCAGATCACTAGAGCTTTCTTGCCATGGATTCTGTCATTCCTTCTGTGAGAATGTTCTTCCTGCACAGACCAAAGACCACCTTGTCCTCATACCTGTCCTTCCATGGCCCTTTCTCCATCACCTTCTCCTCCCCCTGTGTCCTTCCTCCTGCAGGCTTCCCTGGTACAAGGCTGGTCAGGACTCTGCATGGCAGCTCCATGCAGCCCCGGGGAGCCCTGCGCCCCAGCACCATTCCTGGCCCCTGTTCATGAGCCCACAGTCCCTGAGACCTGCCCTGAACCTCTGACCTGGGTGTCTCTAGCCTTGGCCCTGAGCTTCTGGGTCACCCTAAAATTTCCACCCAGTTTCCCCTCAGTACTTCTCTTCCTCTCTTCCCCTTAAGACAGGGGCCACCGGTGACTTGCAGATAAAATCTTGTCCCACAGAAGCCCATCAGGGGAAGACAGAACAGAGCCAACTAGAATCCAGCATGACCCTCGCAGACAGACAGAAGAATTCACAAGGCATCCTGTCCATTCCTCTGAGGTCAGAGGTGAATGGCTGAAGGTGGCCAAGTAGGGCAGTAAGAACAGGGATGGGAAGACCTCAGGTCCCTAGGGCTGGGATCCTGGGTGAAAGCTTGGCCACAGGCTGAGGCAAGACCAGAAAAAGAGCAAGAATAGCAGAAAACAGCCCAGACTTTGTAGGAGAGCAGGGAAGGAGGGGGAAGAAGAGACTCACCTAGGACGGTCAGCTGGGTCCCTCCGCCGAACACCCAACACTGTGATACAAGCTCATACAAAAACCTCTCTCTGGGAGGCCCTGCCCACCCTTGAGCCCACCCTCCTTCCCCTGCAGCTGTGATGGAGGAAGCCTGGGCCACTGCCCCAGGGGGTGTCTGGTCTGCAAGGGGCACACACACTGTCCCCTCTTTCAGACCAGCAGGTGACAAGAAAGGGGACACTGTGCATTGCACGGAGATAGCATTCTTGGAAGCAATTCTCCCAAAGGAATTAGGTGTTTGACAGGCTGTTTCCACTCTGTTCCCCTGGGATGTGGGATGAGTATGGCCGGCATTTGTGTCACCACGAGGGAGGTTCCATGGGAACGGGTGGCACACCCCTCTTATGTCCAATCACCCCTAATCCCTGGGTGAGAGCATGAGGGGAGGGCAGTGCGTATTCCCTCTCCCCCCTCCTCTCCAAGGGAAAGAAAGGTTGGTCTGTGTAGAAAGTCTACTGGCAACTTCCTATGTCTCCAGCCATCTGATCCAGAACTCTGGCTTATCTTCCCTCGGGCAGCCTAGATAGGGATAGAATTGGTGATGTCAGGGGGGGGGGGACTGTAGTCTTTGCCAAGCTGTCATTTAGGGTGAGCTTGGGGGTGTCTCCTAATTTGGGATGGTTTGGGGTGCTGTGTCACCAGGGAAGCCTGACCTTGGTGTAACCCACAGGCCACACTCCCCCTGATCTGAGCTCCTCTCACCTGCCCTAACTCTACTCCTGAATTCCAGTGGATATGCCCTCCCCGGGCCGCACTGGATGCCCATTCTGTGTCCAGGACGGTGCCCTTTCTAATTCATCAAGGTCAACTCCCATGTCTACTCTACATGAGGCCTGACATCACCTACTCCATCTTTAAACCAACCCCCAAATCTCTCAGGTTGATCTGACTTCAGGGTTTGAGACCTTCATGATGGAGGTCCCAGGCCCAAGCTCCAGTAAGCTAGAGCCTGAGCCTGACCCAAGACCATGAGAACGTAAACTGAGCTACGTTGTGCCTCATCCTCAGCCCAGGTTCCCAGCACCATGAGATCCAGGCTCTCTGAGTTGGAAAGGGGTGTGAGCATGATTGGGGAATTGTTAGGTTGTATGATATTAAACTGTTTCTTTGATGTCTGACTTGTCAGTGTCATTGCTGACCTAACATGCATCGTCGAAGTTTGACAAACGCACCATGGGAGGCACTGTTGAAAGCTTTTCATGATTTTATGGTGAGGAGCCAAGCAGGAACCTTCACCTGGTAATGGCTCCCCCATTGGGCTCCATGATGGGAAAGGGAAGTTCAATGTCTGTTCCCAATGACCATAGCCTTGGCTCCATGATTTCCTTCCCAATATTTCCATCTGTAGCCCACCTTGCCCTCCTGTATCCTCTTCATTTCTCCCAGCTCCCTCCTCAGGGCCCCTGGATGCCTCTTGCTCAGCCCTTGTCCCTTTGCAGGTGACCAGGACTGCCTCCCAGGGGCTGGTCCCATAGGAGAAGTTCCAGCCTTGGGTCGCAGCGCCCGTGGGCACTCAGAGCTCATTCAGGTCCCTGGTGGGTGAGTGGATGGACCTCAGGTAGGTCCATGTCATGTCATTCCTGTCCTGCCCTTTATTACCGACCCTTCAACCCAGAGACCCTCCCCCACACAGAACACACATGCGAAATGTCAGATGAGAAATGACAGGAGTTTATTCAGGAGAAGGGGAAATGGGGAGGGATGGCGAGCTGCCCAGTCTGAGCGACCAGGGCAGGAGCTGCAGGGGGACAGTGGGGAGGGGAGGAAGGGAGGGTCTGACGGAGAAGTGTCCCCAGAAGTGGGGACTCAGGTCCTAGGAACACTCCGAGGGGGCCACTGTCTTCTCCACGGTCTTCCCGTCGTGCGTGACCTGGCAGCTGTAGGCGCTGGCGGACTTCCAGTCTTGGCTGGACACGCTCAGGTAGCTGCTGGCCGCGTACTTGTTGTTGCTCTGCTTGGAGGGCTTGGTGGTCTCCACGCCCTGGGTGACAGGGGTGCCATTTGCCTTCCAGGCCACCGTCACGCTGCCCGGGTAGAAGTCACTCATGAGACACACCAGTGTGGCCTTGTTGTTGGCGAGCTCCTCAGCGGATGGCGGGAACAGAGACACGGAGGGTGCAGACTTGGGCTGACCTGTGGGTGCGGGAGGGGCAGGAGGGGAGAGGCTCAGGGTGCATCCTGAAAGTTTCTGACCTCGGTCTTCCTGTGGGCACAGTGTCCTGAGGACCATGCAGGACCCTGAGGGCAGGGGCCTCTCTGGGTGTGAGAGTCCATACCACGCAGGGCAGTTTGGGCACCAATAGCTGACCAACCTTCATAGCTCATGTCCCCATTTTCCTGAGAAACCCTGAGCCTGGACACCTGCCATGACTGTCCTTGTGGGCCCCGTTCTGCCCCCCACACATCTGACTGTCACCCTCTGGCTCTGCCATCTCCTGGTATCTGACTGGACCTGTCTGTGTCTGTCAGTCTGTCCCACAAAAGATGCTCTGAGCCCTCTGCCCTCCTGCTGGGTCCATCTTTGGACGCCTCTTACCCGATCCTCTGTGCTGGGGGCTTCGGAGCATCAGCCCAAGGGTTCAGTTTTTTACCCACATCTATGTCTCCTGCTCCCTGTCTAAACTGGGTGGCATCTTTTTTGATGAAACAGAAACCTGTCTGTCTGTCGTTGTGTGGCTTTCATTCTATAGTCAATGCATCCCCATGAATTGTTCAGATCACTAGAGCTTTCTTGCCATGGATTTTGTCATTGCTTCTGCAAGAATGTTCCTCCTGCAGAGACCAAAGACCACCTTGTCCTCATACCTGTCCTTCCATGCCCTTCCTCCAGCACCTCCTCCCCCCTGTGTCCTTCCTCCTGCAGGCTTCCCTGGTACAAGGCTGGTCAGGACTCTGCATGGCAGCTCCATGCAGCCCTGGAAACCCCTCTAACCCAGCACCATTCCTGGCCCCTGTTCATGAGTCCACAGTCCCTGAGACCTGCCCTGAACCGCTGACCTGTGTGTCTCTAGCCTTGGCCCTGAGCGTCTGGGTCACCCTAAAATTTCTACCCAGTTTCCCCTCAGTACTTCTCTTCCTCTCTTCCCCTTAAGACAGGGGCCACCGGTGACTTGCAGATAAAATCTTGTCCCACAGGAGCCCATCAGGGGAAGACAGAACAGAGCCCAACTAGAGTCCAGCATGACCCTCGCAGACAGACAGAAGAATTCACAAGTCATCCTGTCCATTCCTCTGAGGTCAGAGGTGAATGGCTGAAGGTGACCAAGTAGGACAGTAAGAACAGGGATGGGAAGACCTCAGGTCCCCAAGGGCTGGGATCCTGGGTGAAAGCTTGGCCACAGGCTGAGGCAAGACCAGAAAAAGAGGAAAAATAGCAGAAAACGGCCCAAACTTTGTAGGGGAGCAGGGAAGGAGGGGGAGGGAGAGACTCACCTAGGACGGTCAGCTGGGTCCCTCCGCCGAACACCCAACACTGTGATACAAGCTCATACAAAAACCTCTCTCTGGGAGGCCCTGCCCACCCTTGAGCCCACCCCCCTCCCCCTGCAGCTGTGATGGAGGAAGCCAGGGCCACTGCCCCAGGGGGTGTCTGGTCTGCAAGGGGCACACACACTGTCCCCTCTTTCAGACCAGCAGGTGACAAGATAGGGGACACAGTGCATTGCACGGAGATAGCATTCTTGGAAGCAGTTCTCCCAAAGGAATCAGGTGTTTGACAGGCTTTTTCCACTCTGCTCCGCTGGGATGTGGGATGAGTATGGTGGGCATCTGTGTCACCACGAGGGAGGTTCCATGGGAACGGGTGGCACACCTCTCTTATGTCCAATCACTCCTAATCCCTGGGTGAGAGCATGAGGGGAGGGCAGTGCGTATTCCCTCTCCCCCCTCCTCTTCCAGGGAACGAAAGGTTGGTCTGTGTAGAAAGTCTACTGGCAACTTCCTATGTCTCCAACCATCTGATCCAGAACTCTGGCTTATGGTCCCTCGGGCAGCCCAGATAGGGATAGAATTGATGATGTCAGGGTGGGACTGTTGCCTTTTAGGGTGACCTTGGGGGTGTCCCCTGCCATTCTTCCCAGGGGTGGAGTGGTGTGGGGGTGCTGTGTCACTGGGGAGACCTGACCTTGCTGTAACCCACAGGCCACACTCCCCCTGATCTGAGATTTTCTGACATGCCCTTACTTGGCTCCTGAATTCCAGTGGATATGCCCTCCCTGGGCCGCACTGGATGCCCATCTTGTGCCCAGGATGGTGTTCTTTCTAATCCATCAAGGTCAATTCCCATGTCCACTTCATCTGAGGCCTGATATCACCTGCTTCATCCTTTAACCAACACCCAAAACTCTAAGGTGATCTGACTTCAGGGTTTGAGACCTTCATGATGGAGGTCCCAAGACCCAGCTAGGGTCACCTTGAGTCTGAGGCTGACCCAAGACGATGAGAACATAAACTGAGCTTCCTTGTGCCGCATCCTCAGCCCAGCTTCCCAGCACCATGAGTTCCAGGCTCCCTGAGTTGGTACGGGGTGTGAGCATGATTGGGCAATTGTTAGGTTTATATGATATTGAACTGTTTCTCTGCTGTATGACTTGTCAGTGTCATTGCTTACTTAACATGCATTGTCAAAGTGTGACAAATGGACCATGGGCAGGCACTTTTCAAAGCTTTTCATGATTTTAAGGCGAGGAGTCAACCTTCACCTAGTAATGGCTCCCCCATTGGGTTCCATGATGGGAAAGGGAAGTTCAATGTCTGTTCCCAATGACCACACCCTTGGCTCTATGATTTCCTTCCCAGTATTTCCATCTGTAGCCCACCTTTCCCTCCGGGGACCCTCTTCATCTTTTCTTCATCGCCCCTCAGGGTACCCACATCTTTCTAATTCAGCCTCTGTCCCTTCAAATGAAATAGGACTGCCTCCCAGGGGCCGGCCCCGCAGGAGAAGTTCCTGCTCTGGGTTCCGTCTCCCTCAGAGCTCATTCAGGTCCCTGGTGGGTGAGTGGAGTGGACCTCAGGTAGGTCCATGTCACGTCATTCCTGTCCTGTCCTTTATTACCGACCCTTCAACCTAGAGATGCTCCCACACACAGAACACACATGCGAAATGTCAGATGAGAAATGACAGGAGTTTATTCAGGAGAAGGGGAAAGGGGGAGGGATGACCACCTGCCCAGTCTGAGCGACCAGGGCAGGAGCTGCAGGGGGACAGTGGGGAGGGGGGGAAGGGAGGGTCTGACGGAGAAGTGTCTCCAGAAGTGGGGACTCAGGTCCTAGGAGCACTCTGAGGGGGCCACTGTCTTCTCCACAGTCTTCCCGTCGTGCGTGACCTGGCAGCTGTAGGCGCTGGCGGACTTCCAGTCTTGGCTGGACACGCTCAGGTAGCTGCTGGCCGCGTACTTGTTGTTGCTCTGCTTGGAGGGCTTGGTGGTCTCCACGCCCTGGGTGACGGGGGTGCCATTTGCCTTCCAGGCCACCGTCACGCTGCCCGGGTAGAAGTCACTCATGAGACACACCAGTGTGGCCTTGTTGTTGGCGAGCTCCTCAGCGGATGGCGGGAACAGAGACACCGAGGGTGCAGACTTGGGCTGACCTGTGGGTGCGGGAGGGGCAGGAGGGGAGAGGCTCAGGGTCCATCCTGAAAGCTCCTGACCTCGGTCTTCCTGTGGGCACAGTGTCCTGAGGACCATGCAGGACCCTGAGGGCAGGGGTCTCTCTGGGTGTGAGGTCCATGCCGTGCAGGGAAGTTTGGGGGTTCCTACCTCAACTCCCCATTTTCCTGAGAAACCCTGAGCCTGGAACATTCCATCACCGTCCTTGTGGGCCCCGTTCTGCCCCCCACACATCTGACTGTCACCCTCTGGCTCTGCCTTCTCCTGGTATCTGACTGGGCCTGTCTGTGTCTGTCTGTCTGTTTGTCCCACAAAAGATGCTCTGAGCCCTCTGCCCTCCTGCTGGGTCCATCTTTGGACGCCTCTGACCCGATCCTCTGTGCTGGGGGCTTTGGAGCATCTGCCCAAGGGCTCAGTTTTTCACCCACATCTATGTCTCCTGCTCCCTGTCTAAACTGGGTGGCATTTTTTTTGATGAAACAGAAACCTGTCTGTCTGTCATTATGTGGCTTTCATTCTATAGTCAGTGCATCCCCATGAATTGTTCAGATCACTAGAGCTTTCTTGCCATGGATTCTGTCATTCCTTCTGTGAGAATGTTCTTCCTGCACAGACCAAAGACCACCTTGTCCTCATACCTGTCCTTCCATGGCCCTTCCTCCAGCACCTTCTCCTCCCCCCTGTGCCCTTCCTCCTGCAGGCTTCCCTGGTACAAGGCTGGTCAGGACTCTGCATGGCAGCTCCATGCAGCCCCGGGGAGCCCTGCGCCCCAGCACCTTTCCTGGCCCCTGTTCATGAGCCCACAGTCCCTGAGACCTGCCCTGAACCTCTGACCTGGGTGTCTCTGGCCTTGGCCCTGAGCGTCTGGGTCACCCTAAAATTTCCACCAAGTTTCCCCTCAGTACTTCTCTTCCTCTCTTCCCCTTAAGACAGGGGCCATCGGTGACTTGCAGATAAAATCTTGTCCCACAGGAGCCCATCAGGGGAAGACAGAACAGAGCCCAACTAGAGTCCAGCATGACCCTCGCAGACAGACAGAAGAATTCACAAGGCATCCTGTCCATTCCTCTGAGGTCAGAGGTGAATGGCTGAAGGTGGCCAAGTAGGGCAGTAAGAACAGGGATGGGAAGACCTCAGGTCCCCAAGGGCTGGGATCCTGGGTGAAAGCTTGGCCACAGGCTGAGACAAGACCAGAAAAAGAGCAAAAATAGCAGAAAACAGCCCAAACTTTGTAGGGGAGCAGGGAAGGAGGGGGAAGGAGAGACTCACCTAGGACGGTCAGCTGGGTCCCTCCGCCGAACACATAACACTGTGACACAAGCTCATACAAAAACCTCTATCTGGGAGGCCCTGCCCACTCCTGAGCCCCCCCACACCCCCGGCTCCCCCTGCAGCTGTGATGGAGGAAGCCTGGGCCACTGCCCCAGGGGGTGTCTGGTCTGCAAGAGGCACACACACTGTCCCCCCTTTCAGACCAGCAGGTGACAGGATAGGGGACAGGGTGCATTGCACAGGGAAAGAATTCTTGGAAGCAATTCTCCCAAAGGAATTAGGTGTTTGACAGGCTTTTTCCACTCTGCTCCGCTGGGATGTGGGATGAGTATGGTGGGCATCTGTGTCACTGTGCGGGACATTCCACGGGAACGGGTGGCACACCTCTCTTATGTCCAATCACCCCTAATCCCTGGTGAGAGCATGAGGGGAGGGCAGTGTGTATTCCCTCTCCCTCCCTCCCCTTCCAGGGAAAGACAGGTTGGTCTGTGTAGAGTGTCTACTGGCAACTTCCTATGTCCCCAACCATCTGATCAAGACCTCTGGGACTGTAATCTTTGTCAACCTGCCCTTTAGGGTGTCCCCTGCGATTCTTCCCAGAGGTGGAGTGGCATCGGGGTGCTTTGTCACCGGCGAGACCTGACCTTGCTGTAACCAACAGGCCACACTCCCCTGATCTGAGATTGTCTGACCTGCCCTTACTCGGCTCCTGAATTCCAGTGGATATGCCCTCCCTGGGCCGCACTGGATGCCCATTCTGTGCCCAGGAAGGTGCCCTTTCTGATCCATCAAGGTCAATTCCCACGTCCCCTCCACCTGAGGCCTGACATCACCTGCTCCATCCTTAAACAAACCCCCAAAACTCTCAGGTTGATCTGATTTCAGGGTTTGAGATCTTCATGATGGAGGTTCCCAGCCCAAGCTAGGGTCACCTTGAATTGAGCCTGACACAAGATCATACAAATAGAAACTGAGCTTCCTTGTGCCTCATCCTCAGCCCAGCTTCCCAGCACCATGAGATCCAGGCTCCCTGAGTTGGTACGGGGTGTGAGCATGATTGGGCAATTGTTAGGTTATATGATATTAAACTGTTTCTCTGCTGAATGACTTGTCAGTGTCTTGTTGACTTAACATGCATAGACAAAGTTTGACAAACGCACCATGGGAGGCACTGTTGAAAGCTTTTCATGATTTTAAGGCGAGGAGTCAACCTTCACCTAGTAATGGCTCCCCCATTGGGCTCCATGATGGGAAAGGGAAGTTCAATGTCTGTTCCCAAGGACCGTAGCCTTGGTTCCATGATTTCCTTCTCAATATTTCCATCTGTAGCCCACCTTGCACTCCTGGTCCCTCTTCAATTCTCCCTGATCCCTCCTCAGGGCTCTTGAATCCCTCTCACTCAGCCCTTGTCCCTTTGCAGGTGACCAGGACTGCGTCCCAGGGGCTGTTCCCACAGGAGAAGTTCCAGCCCTGGGTCACAGCTCCCATGGGCACTCAGAGCTCATTCAGGTCCCTGGTGGGTGAGTGGAGTGGACCTCAGGTAGGTCCATGTCACGTCATTCCTGTCCTGCCCTTTATTACCGACCCTTCAACCTAGAGACCCTCCCCCACAGAGAACACACATGCGAAATGTCAGATGAGAAATGACAGGAGTTTATTCAGGAGAAGGGGAAACGGGGAGGGATGACGACCTGCCCAGTCTGAGCGACCAGGGCTGGAGCCGCAGGGGGAGAGTGGGGAGCGGGGGAAGAGAGCATCTGACTGTGAAGTGTCGCCAGAAGTGGGGACTCAGGTCCTAGGAACACTCCGAGGGGGCCACTGTCTTCTCCACGGTCTTCCCATCGTGCGTGACCTGGCAGCTGTAGGCGCTGGCGGACTTCCAGTCTTGGCTGGACACGCTCAGGTAGCTGCTGGCCGCGTACTTGTTGTTGCTCTGCTTGGAGGGCTTGGTGGTCTCCACGCCCTGGGTGACGGGGGTGCCATTTGCCTTCCAGGCCACCGTCACGCTGCCCGGGTAGAAGTCACTCATGAGACACACCAGTGTGGCCTTGTTGTTGTTGAGCTCCTCAGCGGATGGCGGGAACAGAGACACGGAGGGTGCAGACTTGGGCTGACCTGTGGGTGCGGGAGGGGCAGGAGGGGAGAGGCTCAGGGTCCATCCTGAAAGCTGCTGACCTCGGTCTTCCTGTGGGCACAGTGTCCTGAGGACCATGCAGGACCCCGAGGGCAGGGGCCTCTCTGGGTGGGTGTGAGAGTCCATGCTGTGCAGGGTAGTTTGGGGGGGTCCCTAACTCAACTCCCCGTTTTCCTGAGAAACCCTGAGCCGGGAACCTGCCATCACCGTCCTTGTGGGCCCCGTTCTGCCCCCCACACATCTGACTGTCACCCTCTGGCTCTGCCTTCTCCTGGTATCTGACTCGGCCTGTCTTTGTGTGTCAGGACACAGAAGATGCTCTGAGTCCTCTGACCTTCTGCTGGGTCCATCTGTGGACACCTCTGACCTGATCCTCTGTGCTGGGGTCTTAGGGTCTTTGCCCTTAGGGTTCCGTCCCCCCACCCCCCAATCTACCTGTCCTGGGCTTTCTCTTAAGTTAGTATGAGTTTTGCTGATGAACAAAAAGTCTGTCTGTCTGTCCCTGGGTCTCTCTCATTCTACAGTCAATGGAGTCCCCGCTAGTCGGTCACATCACTGGAGCTTTTATGCCAATAGTTGTACGTTACCTTCTGAGAGGATGTTCGTCCTGCAGAGACCAAAGACCACCTTGTCCTCATACCTGTCCTTCCATGCCCTTCCTCCAGCACCTTCTCCTCCCCCTGTGTCCTTCCTCCTGCAGACTTCCCTGGTGCGAGGCTGGTCAGGACTCTGCATGGCAGCTCCATGCAGCCCGGGGAGCCCCTCTAACCCAACACCATTCCTGGCCCCTGTTCATGAGCCCACAGTCCCTGAGACCTGCCCTGAACCTCTGACCTGGGAGTCTCTAGCCTTGGCCCTGGCTTCTGGGTCACTCTAAAATTTTCACCCGGTTCCCCTCAGTACTTCTCTTCCTCTCTTCCCCTTAAGACAGGGGCCACCGGTGACTTGCAGATATAAATCTTGTCCCACAGAAGCCCATCAGGGGAAGACAGAACAGAGCCAACTAGAATCCAGCATGACCCTCCCAGACAGACAGAAAAATCCACAAGGCATCCTGTCCATTCCCCTGTCTCTGAGGTCAGAGGTGAATAGCTGAAGGTGACCAAGTAGGACAGTAAAGCCAGGGAAGGGAAGACCTCAGGTCCCCAAGGGCTGGGATCCTGGGTGAAAGCTTGGTCACAGGCTGAGGCAAGACCAGAAAAAGAGCAAACATAGCAGAAAACAGCCCAAACTTTGTAGGGGAGCAGGGAAGGAGGGGGAAGGAGACACTCACCTAGGACGGTCAGCTGGGTCCCGCCGCCGAACACATTACACTGTGACACAAGCTCATACAAAAACCTCTCTCTGGGAGGCCCTGCCCACCCCTGAGCCCCCCACCCCCTCCCCTTGCAGCTGTGATGGAAGAAGCCTGGGCCACTGCCCCAGGGGGTGTCTGGTCTGCAAGGGCACACACAGTGTCCCCCCTTTCAGACCAGCAGGTGACAGGATAGGGGACACAGTGCATTCCACAGGGAAAGAATTCTTGGAAGCAGTTCTCCCAAAGGAATTAGGTGTTTGACAGGCTTTTTCCACTCTGCTCCCCTGTGATGGGGGATGAGTATGGTGGGCATCTGTGTCACTGTGCCGGACATTCCATGGGAACGGGTGGCACACCTCTCTTATGTGGAAACACCCCTAATCCCTGGTGAGAGCATGAGGGGAGGGCAGTGCGTATTCCCTCTCCCCCCCTCCCCTTCCAGGGAAAGACAAGTTGGTCTGTGTAGAAAGTCTACTGGCAACTTCCTATGTCCCAGCCATCTGATCCAGACCTCTGGCTTATGGTCCATAGGGCAGCCTAGATAAGGATAGCATTGGTGATGTCACGGTGTAACTGTAGTCTTTTCCAGCCTGCCTTTTAGGGTGACCTTGGGGGTGTCCCCTGCCATTCTTCCCAGGGGTGGAGTGGTGTGGGGGTGCTGTGTCACTGGGGAGACCTGACCTTGCTGTAACCCACAGGCCACACTCCCCCTGATCTGAGATTTTCTGACATGCCCTTACTTGGCTCCTGAATTCCAGTGGATATGCCCTCCCTGGGCCGCACTGGATGCCCATCTTGTGCCCAGGATGGTGTTCTTTCTAATCCATCAAGGTCAATTCCCATGTCCACTTCATCTGAGGCCTGATATCACCTGCTTCATCCTTTAACCAACACCCAAAACTCTAAGGTGATCTGACTTCAGGGTTTGAGACCTTCATGATGGAGGTCCCAAGACCCAGCTAGGGTCACCTTGAGTCTGAGGCTGACCCAAGACGATGAGAACATAAACTGAGCTTCCTTGTGCCGCATCCTCAGCCCAGCTTCCCAGAACCATGAGTTCCAGGCTCCCTGAGTTGGTACGGGGTGTGAGCATGATTGGGAAATTGTTAGGTTATATGATATTGAACTGTTTCTCTGCTGTATGACTTGTCAGTGTCATTGCTTACTTAACATGCATTGTCAAAGTGTGACAAATGGACCATGGGCAGGCACTTTTCAAAGCTTTTCATGATTTTAAGGCGAGGAGTCAACCTTCACCTAGTAATGGCTCCCCCATTGGGTTCCATGATGGGAAAGGGAAGTTCAATGTCTGTTCCCAATGACCACACCCTTGGCTCTATGATTTCCTTCCCAATATTTCCATCTGTAGCCCACCTTTCCCTCCGGGGACCCTCTTCATCTTTTCTTCATCGCCCCTCAGGGTACCCACATCTTTCTTATTCAGCCTCTGTCCCTCCAAGTGAAATAGGACTGCCTTCCAGGGGCCGGCCCCGCAGGAGAAGTTCCTGCTCTGGGTTCCGTCTCCCACAGGCACTCAGAGCTGATTGAGGTTCCTAGTTGGTTGTTGAGCTAATGATGGGTAGATGGAGTCACATGTCATAACCATCCTGCCCTTTGTTGAACCCAAACACCGGTCCCCCACACAGAACACACATGCGAAATGTCAGATGAGAAATGACAGGAGTTTATTCAGGAGAAGGGGAAACAGGGAGGGATCACGACCTGCCCAGTCTGAGCGACCAGGGCAGGAGCCGCAGGGGGACTGTGGGGAGTGGGGAAAGGGAGTGTCTGATGGAGAAGTGTCCCCAGAAGTGGGGACTCAGGTCCTAGGAACACTCTGAGGGGGCCACTGTCTTCTCCACGGTCTTCCCGTCGTGCGTGACCTGGCAGCTGTAGGCGCTGGCGGACTTCCAGTCTTGGCTGGACACGCTCAGGTAGCTGCTGGCCGCGTACTTGTTGTTGCTCTGCTTGGAGGGCTTGGTGGTCTCCACGCCCTGGGTGACGGGGGTGCCATTTGCCTTCCAGGCCACCGTCACGCTGCCCGGGTAGAAGTCACTCATGAGACACACCAGTGTGGCCTTGTTGTTGGCGAGCTCCTCAGCGGATGGCGGGAACAGAGACACCGAGGGTGCAGACTTGGGCTGACCTGTGGGTGCGGGAGGGGCAGGAGGGGAGAGGCTCAGGGTCCATCCTGAAAGCTCCTGACCTCGGTCTTCCTGTGGGCACAGTGTCCTGAGGACCATGCAGGACCCCAGGGCAGGGGCCTCTCTGGGTGTGAGAGTCCATGCCATGAGTTTGGAGTGTTCCTACCTCAAGTCCCCATTTTCCTGAGAAACCCTGAGCCTGGACACCTGCCTTCACTGTCCTTGTGGGCCCCGTTCTGGCCCCCACACATCTGACTGTCACCCTCTGGCTCTGCCTTCTCCTGGTATCTGACCGGGCCTGTCTGTGTCTGTCAGTCTGTTTGTCCCACAAAAGATGCTCTGAGCCCTCTGCCCTCCTGCAGGGTCCATCTGTGGACACCTCTGGCCTGATCCTCTGAGCTGGGGGCTTCAAAGCTTTAGCCAAAGGTGTCAGTTTTCACCCCCACATCTATGTCTCCTGCTCCCTGTCTAAACTGGGTGGCAGCTTTTTCTGATGAAACAGAAATCTGTCTGTCTGTCATTGGGTCTCTCTCCTTCTACAGTCAATGCATCCCCACAAATTGGTCAGATCACTAGAGCTCTCGTGCCATGGATTCTGTCATTCCTTCTGTGAGAATGTTCTTCCTGCAGAGACCAAAGGCCACCTTTTCCTCATACCTGTCCTTCCATGGCCCTTCCTCCATCACCTTCTCCTCCCCCCTGTGCCCTTCCTCCTGCAGGCTTCCCTGGTGCGAGGCTGGTCAGGACTCCGCATGGCAGCTCCATGCAGCCCCGGGGAACCCTGCGCCCCAGCACCATTCCTGGCCCCTGTTCATGAGTCCACAGTCCCTGAGACCTGCCCTGAACCTCTGACCTGGGTGTCTCTAGCCTTGGCCCAGAGCGTTGGCCCTGAAGGTTCCGGGGCACCCTAGAATTTGGTTTCCCCTTCTGTAGTCCTTATCCTATATTGTCTTTGAGATGGGGGCCCTTTTGACACCAACAAGAGCCCATCAGGGGAAACAAAACAGAGCCCATCTAGAATCCAGCATGAACCTGACAGACAGATGGAAGAAGCCACACACAGGGCACCCTGACCATTCCTCTGTCTCTGGGGACAGAGGTAAATGGCTGAGGGTGACCAAATAGGACAGTAAGAGCAGAAACCCATAGAGCTCAGGTTCCCAAGGGCTGGGATCCAGGGTGAAAGCTTGGCCACAGGCTGGGACAGGACCCAGAGAGAGAGAAAAACCAGCAGAAAATAGCCCAAATATCTGGGAGAGCAGCAAAGGAAGGGGAAGGAGAGACTCACCTAGGACGGTCAGCTGGGTCCCTCCGCCGAACACCCAACACTGTGACACAGGCTCGTACAAAAACCTCTCTCTGGGAGCCCTGCCCCACCCCTGGGCCCCCACCTGCAGCTGTGCTGGAGGAAGCCTGGGCCACTGCCCCCGGCTGCTGTCTGCTCTGCCAGGGGCAAGCGCTGTCCCCCCTCCACCACCTCAGCAGATTGCAGGGTGGATGGATGACACAGCGACTTGTACAGCAGCAGGACTGTTGGAAGCAATTCTCCCACAGGAACTTGGTGCCTGATAGGCTGTTTCTACCGTGGTCTCCTGGGTTTGGGATGAGTTTGGAGGGATCTGTTTCACTGTGAGTGAGGTTCCATAGCCTAGGCCCAGAGGCACCAGGAGAGCTACAGCATGCTGGCTTCTTGTCACCAGGAACCATAGAGATCCATCCCTTGGGGTCATGTCGGGACACACAGAAGCCTCCCAAAGAGGCTCCCAATGGACAAATGGCCACCGTTCGCAGCCACATTGTTATCACTTGAGGAACCCGTGGTGCTTTCACACGGCAGATCCATTCACCTGCTAGAGTTCCCCAAGCCTCTCAGTGGCCACTGTTACCACGGGAGGACGGTGGGGACCAGACCACTGTCCTGCAAACTGGAGGACCAAAGAGAAATTCCCCATTCCGTCATCTGTGCTAGCGTGTGACACACACTGCCTGGTGGAGACAGATCTGCTGGAGGGACTCCTTTCATGAACACATGGAGCACCACAGGAGGAGGAGGGCGAATCTGGAATATCCCATGATGCATTCCTTCCTATCTGATGGACCACGTCATTGGACATCCAAGCAGCAGATGTCCTCAAAGGATGTCTATTCCATAGGGGTTCTTTGGTGCAAAGGGGGAACCATCTGGGAGGCAATTTGGCTAAAGTCCAACCCAGACCTTGTGAAGCTTCTGATGCCAAAACCATTTTGCAGGAACATGAGGAGGAGTGACCCCCCCCAGATGCAGCTCGTGGAGGCTGGACCCGCATCCCGACTGAGGGAGAGTCCCCGAGGCCAGCAGCTCAGCCCCTCAGCCACTTCCTGGCATGGAAAAGCTGGAGTGATTTGGAGGATACTTCCAGACCCAACATCACAATGTGGGACCTTATTCTGTTCTCATATGTAAACAACACCTAAGATACAACCAAGTAAATACACTAAAAGCTGGATATAATGGACTAATTCTGCGCAGGGGTGTCCGTATAAAGCTGAAATTCCATTATATCTAAAGTAGTTTTCCTAACACGTATGCAAAAAATTGACAGATTAGTCAGTCTCCCTGTCTCAGGGGCCTGGAGTGAGTGTGTCGCTGACACCAGCTGCACTCAGGTCTGAGACACAGGGAGCGAGGGGGAAGGGGCCCAGGGGTGGAGTGGTGGGGGTGCTCTGTCCCCGGGGAGGCCTGACCTTGCTGTAGCCCACAGGCCACACTCTGCCTGCTCTGAGCTGGTCTGACCTGCACTTACTCTGCTCCTGAATTCCAGTTGATATGCCCTCCCTGGGACATCACAGGATGCCCAATTGGTGCCCAGGACTGTGCCCTTTCTAATTGTTCAAGGTCAACTGTCATGCCCCCTCACACCTTCCTGGTGCAGGCTGACATCACCTGCTCCATCCTTAGCCAACCATAAAGAATCTCACCCTCATCTGACTACAGGTGTTGAGACTCCTCATATGGAGGTCCATGCCCGAGGCTAGAGTCACCCTGAGCCTGACCTTGACTCAGGAGAATTAGAACATAAACTGAGTTTCCTTGTGTCTCATTCTCTCCTCATGTTCCCAGCACCAGTAACCATGCTTTGAAGGGTGTCCCAGGCTCCCTGAGTTGGTAGGAGGAATGAACGTGATGGGGGAATTGTCAGGCTCCATGATATTAAACTGCTTCTCTGCTGCAGGACTAGTCAGTGTCTTTCCGTAGCTAACGTGCATTGGCAGAGTTTGACAAACGCCCCATGGGAGGCACTGTTCAAAGCTTTCCCTGACTCCCTGCTGATGGGCCATCCATGAGCCCCTCACCTGGAAATGGCTCTCCCATTGGGCTCCATGATGAACAGGGCAGTTCAATGTCTGTTCCCAATGACCACAGCCTTGGCTCCATGATTTCCTTCCCAATATTTCCATCTATAGCCCTCTGTGCCCTCCTGGGACCCTCACCATTTCTCCCTGGTCCCTCCTCAGGGCCCCTGGATCCCTCTCACTCAGCCCTTGTCCCTTTCCAGGTGACAAGGACTGCGTCACAGGGGCTGGTCCCACAGGAGAAGTTCCTGCCTTTGGTCCCAGCTCCCATGGGCACTCAAGCTCATTCAGGACCCTGGTGGGTGAGTGGATGGACCTCAGGTAGGTCCATGTCATGTCATTCCTTCCTGCCCTTTATTACTGACCCTTCAACCTAGAGATGCTCCCCCACACAGAACACACATGCGAAATGTCAGATGAGAAATGACAGGAGTTTATTCAGGAGAAGGGGAAACGGGGAGGGATGGCCACCTGCCCAGTCTGAGCGACCAGGGCAGGAGCCGCAGGGGGACAGTGGGGACCGGGGGAAGGGAGGGTCTGACGGAGAAGTGTCCCCAGAAGTGGGGACTCAGGTCCTAGGCACACTCTGAGGGGGCCACTGTCTTCTCCACGGTCTTCCCATCGTGCGTGACCTGGCAGCTGTAGGCGCTGGCGGACTTCCAGTCTTGGCTGGACACGCTCAGGTAGCTGCTGGCCGCGTACTTGTTGTTGCTCTGCTTGGAGGGCTTGGTGGTCTCCACGCCCTGGGTGACGGGGGTGCCATTTGCCTTCCAGGCCACCGTCACGCTGCCCGGGTAGAAGTCACTCATGAGACACACCAGTGTGGCCTTGTTGTTGTTGAGCTCCTCAGCGGATGGCGGGAACAGAGCCACGGAGGGTGCAGACTTGGGCTGACCTGTGGGTGCGGGAGGGGCAGGAGGGGAGAGGCTCAGGGTCCATCCTGAAAGCTGCTGACCTCGGTCTTCCTGTGGGCACAGTGTCCTGAAGACCATGCAGGACCCCCAGGGCAGGGGCCTCTCCGGGTGTGAGAGTCCATGCCGTGCAGGGCAGTTTGGGGTGTTCGTAGCTCAACTCCCCATTTTCCTGAGAAACCCTGAGCCTGGAACCTGCCATCACTGTCCTTGTGGGCCCCGTTCTGCCCCCCACACATCTGACTGTCACCCTCTGGCTCTGCCTTCTCCTGGTATCTGACTGGGCCTGTCTGTGTCTGTCCGTCTGTTTGTCCCACAAAAGATGCTCTGAGCCCTCTGACCTCCTGCTGGGTCCATCTGTGGACACCTCTGACCTGATCCTCTGTGCTGGGGGCTTTGGAGCATCGGCCCAAGGGCTCAGTTTTCACCCAAATCTATGTCTCCAGCTCCCTCTCTAAACTGGGTGGCAGCTTTTTCTGATGAACAAAATGTCTGTCTGTCTGTCGTTGGGTCTCTCTCATTCTACAGTCAATGGCATCCCCACAATTTGGTCAGATCACTAGAGCTTTCATGCCATAGATTCTGTGATTCCTTCGTAAGATGTTTCTCCTGCAGAGACCAAAGGCCACCTTGTCCTCATACCTGTCCTTCCATGCCCTTCCTCCAGCACCTTCTCCTCCCCCCTGTGTCCTTCCTCCTGCAGGCTTCCCTGGTGCGAGGCTGGTCAGGACTCTGCATGGCAGCTCCATGCAGCCCCCGGAGCCCTGCACCCCAGCACCATTCCTGGCCCCTGTTCATGAGTCCACAGTCCCTGAGACCTGCCCTGAACCTCTGACCTGGGTGTCTCTAGCCTTGGCCCAGAGCGTCTGGGTCACCCCAAAATTTTCACCCAGTTTCCCCTCAGTGCTCCTTATCCTCTCTTTCCCTAAGACAAGGGCCACTAATGACCCCCTGAAATAATCTTGTCCCACAGGAACTTAACAGGGGAAGACAGAACAGAGCCCATCTAGAATCCCCCATGACCCTCAGAGAGACAGAAGAAGCCACACACAGGGCATCCCATCCATTTCTCTGTCTCTGGGGACAGAGGTGAACAGCTGAGGGTGACCAAATAGGACAGTAAGAGCAGAAACCCATAGAGCTCAGGTTCCCAAGGGCTGGGATCCAGGGTGAAAGCTTGGCCACAGGCTGGGACAGGACCCAGAGAGAGAGAAAAACCAGCAGAAAATAGCCCAATCCTCTGGGAGAGCAGCAAAGGAAGGGGAAGGAGAGACTCACCTAGGACGGTCAGCTGGGTCCCGCCGCCGAACACCCAACACTGTGACACAAGCTCCTACAAAAACCTCTCTCTGGGAGGCCCTGCCCCACCCCTGGGCCCCCACCTGCAGCTGTGCTGGAGGAAGCCTGGGCCACTGCCCCCGGCTGCTGTCTGCTCTGCCAGGGGCGCACACTGTCCCCCCTCCACCACCTCAGCAGATTGTAGGGTGGATGGATGACACAGCGACTTGTACAGCAGCAGGACTGTTGGAAGCAATTCTCCCACAGGACTTGGTGCCTGATAGGCTGTTTCTACCGTGGTCTCCTGGGATTGGGATGAGTTTGGAGGGATCTGTTTCACTGTGAGTGAGGTTCCATAGCCTAGGCCCAGAGGCACCAGGGGAGCTACAGCATGCTGGCTTCTTGTCACCAGGAACCATAGAGATCCATCCCCAGGCGTCATGTCGGGACCCACAGAAGCCTCCCAAAGAGGCTCCCAATGGACAAATGGCCACCGTTCGCAGCCACATTGCTGTCATCACTTGAGGAACCCGTGGTGCTTTCACACGGCAGATCCATTCACCTGCTAGAATTCCCCAAGCCACTCAGTGGCCATTGTTACCACGGGAGGACGGAGGGGGCCAGACCACCGTCCTGCAAACTGGAGGACCAGAGAGAAATTCCCCATTCCCTCATCTGCGCTAGGGTGTGACACACACTGCCTGGTGGAGACAAATCTGCTGGAGGGACTCCTTTCATGCACACGTGGGGCACCACAGGAGGAGGAGGGCGAATCTGGAATATCCCATGATGCATTTCTTCCTATCTGATGGACCACGTCATTGGACAGCCAAGGGGAGGATGTCCTCAAAGGAGGTCTATTCCATAGGGGTCCTTTGGTGCAAAGGGGGAACCATCTGGGAGGCAATTTTGCTAAAGTCCAACCTGGACCTTGTGAAGCTTCTGATGCCAAAACCATTTTGCAGGAACATGAGGAGGAGAGACCCACCCAGATGCAGCTCGTGGAGGCTGGGCCGCATCCCTACTGAGGGAGAGTCCCCGAGGCCAGCAGCTCAGCCCCTCACCCACTTCCTGGCATGGAAAAGCTGGAGTGATTTGGGGGACACTTCCAGACCCAACATCACAATGCATGCAAACAACACCTAAGATACAACCAAGTAAATACACTGAAAGCTGGATATAATGGACTAATTCTGCGCAGGGGTGTCCGTATAAAGCTGAAATTCCATTATATCATAAAGTAGGTTTCCTAACTCGTACGTAAAAAATTGACAGATTAGTCAGTCTCCCTGTCTCAGGGGCCTGGAGTGAGTGTGTCACTGATATCAGCTGCACTCAGGGTGGAGACACAGGGAGCGAGGGGGAAGGGGCCCAGGGGTGGAGTGGTGTGGGTGCTGTGTCACCGGGGAGGCCTGACCTTGCTGTACCCCACGTGCCACACTCCTCCTGCTCTGAGCTCCTCTGACCTGCACTTACTCTGCTCCTGGACTCCAGTTGATACACCCTCCCTTGGACTACACTGGATGCCCAATTAGTGCCCATTACGGTGCCCTTAATAATCCATCAATGTCAACTGTCATGCCCCCTCACACCTTCCTGGTACAGGCTGACATCACCTGCTCCATCCTTAGCCAACCATAAAGAATCTCACCCTCATCTGACTACAGGTGTTGAGACTCCTCATATGGAGGTCCATGCCCCCGGCTAGAGTCACCTTGAGCCTGACCTTGACTCAGGAGAATTAGAACATAAACTGAGTTTCCTTGTTCCTCATCCTTACCGCATGTTCCCAGCACTACTAACATGCCTTGAAGGGAGTTCCAGGCTCCCTGAGTTGGTAGGTGGAATGAATGCAATGGGGGAATTGTTAGGTTCCATGATATTTAACTGCTTCTCTCTGCAGGACTAGTTAGCGTCTTTCCTTAGCTAACGTGCATTGTCTAAGTTTGACGAATGCCCCATGGAGGCACTGCTCAAAGCTTTCCGTGACTCCCTGCTGATGGGCCAACCAAAAGCCCCTCACCTGGTAATGGCTCCCCCATTGGGTTCCATGATGGAACAGGAAAGTTCAATGTCTGTTCCCAATAACCACAGCCTTGGTTCCATGATTTCCTTCCCAATATTTCCATCTGTACCTCACCATGCCCTCCTGGGACCCTCTCCATTTCTCCCTGGTCCCTCCTCAGGGCCCCTGGATCCCCGTCACTCAGCCCTTGTCCCTTTCCAGGTAACCAGGACTGTGTCCCAGGGGCTGGTCCTAGAGGAGAAGTTTCTGCCCTGGGTCCCAGCGCCCATTGGCACTCAAGCTCATTCAGGTCCCTGGTGGGTGAGTGGAGTGGACCTCAGGTAGGTCCATGTCATGTCATTCCTGTCCTGCCCTTTATTACCGACCCTTCAACCCAGACACCCTCCCCCACACAGAACACACATGCGAAATGTCAGATGAGAAATGACAGGAGTTTATTCAGGAGAAGGGGAAACAGGGAGGGATGGCAACCTGCCCAGTCTGAGCGACCAGGGCAGAGACTCAGGGGGACAGTGGGGAGCAGGGGAAGGGAGAGTCTGACGGAGAAGTGTCCCCAGAAGTGGGGACTCAGGTCCTAGGAGCACTCCGAGGGGGCCACTGTCTTCTCCACGGTCTTCCCGTCGTGCGTGACCTGGCAGCTGTAGGCGCTGGCGGACTTCCAGTCTTGGCTGGACACGCTCAGGTAGCTGCTGGCCGCGTACTTGTTGTTGCTCTGCTTGGAGGGCTTGGTGGTCTCCACGCCCTGGGTGACGGGGGTGCCATTTGCCTTCCAGGCCACCGTCACGCTGCCCGGGTAGAAGTCACTCATGAGACACACCAGTGTGGCCTTGTTGTTGTTGAGCTCCTCAGCGGATGGCGGGAACAGAGACACGGAGGGTGCAGACTTGGGCTGACCTGTGGGTGCGGGAGGGGCAGGAGGGGAGAGGCTCAGGGTCCATCCTGAAAGCTCCTGACCTCGGTCTTCCTGTGGGCACAGTGTCCTGAGGACCATGCAGGACCCCAGGGCAGGGGCCTCTCCGGGTGTGAGAGTCCATGCTGTGCAGGGTAGTTTGGGGGGTTCCTAACTCAACTCCCCATTTTCCTGAGAAACCCTGAACCTGGAACCTGCCATCACTGTCCTTGTGGGCCCCGTTCTGCCCCCCACACATCTGACTGTCACCCTCTGGCTCTGCCTTCTCCTGGTATCTGACTGGGCCTGTCTGTGTCTGTCTGTCTGTTTGTCCCACAAAAGATGCTCTGAGCCCTCTGCCCTCCTGCTGGGTCCATCTGTGGACACATCTGACCTGATCCTTTGTGCTGGGGGCTTCGGAGCATCGGCCAAAGGAGTCAGTTTTTCACCCAAATCTATGTCTCCTGCTCCCTGTCTAAACTGGGTGGCAGCTTTTTCTGATGAACAAAATGTCTGTCTGTCTTTGGGTCTCTCTCATTCTACAGTCAATGGCATCCCCACAAATTGGTCAGATCACTAGAGCTCTCATGCCATGGATTCTGCCATTTCTTCTGAGAGGATGTTCATCCTGCAGAGACCAAAGGCCAATTGTCCTCATACCTGTCCTTCCATGCCCTTCCTCCAGCACCTCCTCCCCCCTGTGTCCCTCCTCCTGCAGGCTTCCCTGGTGCGAGGCTGGTCAGGACTCCGCATGGCAGCTCCATGCAGCCCTGGGGAGCCCTGCACCCCAGCACCATTCTTGGCCTCTGTTCATGAGTCCACAGTCCCTGAGACCTGCCCTGAACCTCTGACCTGGGTGTCTCTAGCCTTGGCCCAGAGTGTCTGGGTCACCCTAAAATTTTCACAAGGTTACCCCCTCAGTGGTCCTTATCCTCTCTTTCCCTTAAGACAGGGGCCACTGATGACCCCCTGAAACAATCTTGTCCCACAGGAACTTAACAGGGGAAGACAGAACAGAGCCCATCTAGAATCCCCCATGACCCTCAGAGACAGAAGAAGCCACACACAGAGCATCCTGACCATTCCCCTGTCCTGGGGACAGAGGTGAACGGCTGAGAGTGACCAAATAGGACAGTAAGAGCAGAAACCCACAGAGCTCAGGTTCCCAAGGGCCGGGATCCAGGGTGAAAGCTTGGCCACAGGCTGGGACAGGACCCAGAGAGAGCAGAACTCGCAGAAAATGGCCCAAACCTCTGGGAGAGCAGCAAAGGAGGGGGAAGGAGAGACTCACCTAGGACGGTCAGCTGGGTCCCTCCGCCGAACACAAAACACTGTGACACAGGCTCGTACAAAAACCTCTCTCTGGGAGCCCTGCCCCACCCCTGGGCCCCCACCTGCAGCTGTGCTGGAGGAAGCCTGGGCCACTGCCCCCGGCTGCTGTCTGCTCTGCCAGGGGCGCGCGCTGTCCCCGCTCCACCACCTCAGCAGATTGTAGGGTGGATGGATGACACAGCGACTTGTACAGCAGCAGGACTGTTGGAAGCAATTCTTCCAAAGCAGCGGTTCTCAACCTGTGGGTCGGGACCCCTTTGGCCTTCGAAGGACCCTTTCACAGGGGTCGCCTAAGACCATCCTGCATATCAGATATTTACATTACGATTCATAGCATTAGCAACATTATGAAGTAGCAACGAAAATAATTTTATGGTTTGGTCACAACATGAGGAACTATGTTCAAAGGGCCAGAAGGTTGAGAACCACTGCTCTAAAGGAACTTGGTGCCTGATAGGCTGTTTCTACTGCGGTCTCCTGGGATTGGGATGAGCTAGGAGGGCATCGATTGCACTGTGAGTGAGGTGCCATGGCCTAGGGCAGTGGTCCGCAAACTCATTAGTCAACAGAGCCAAATATCAACAGTACAACGATTGAAATTTCTTTAGAGCCATATTTTTAAAAGTGAAACTATAAAGGTAGGTACATGGTTATTAACTTAATTAGGGTACTCCTAAGGCTTAGGAAGAGCCATACTCAAGGGGCCAAAGAGCCGCATGTGGCTCAGGAGCCGCAGTTCGCCGACCACGGGCCTAGGGCGATAGGCAACAGGGGAGCTACAGCGTGCTGGCTTCTTGTCACCAGGAACCATAGAGATCCATCCCCTGGGGTCATGTCCGGACCCACAGAAGCCTCCCAAAGAGGCTCCCAATGGACAAATGGCCACCGTTCGCAGCCACATTGCTGTCATCACTTGAGGAACCCGTGGTGCTTTCACACGGCAGATCCATTCACCTGCTGGAGTTCCCCAAGCCTCTCAGTGGCCACTGTTACCACGGGAGGACGGTGGGGACCAGACCACTGTCCTGCAAACTGGAGGACCAAAGAGAAATTCCCCATTCCGTCATCTGTGCTAGCGTGTGACACACACTGCCTGGTGGAGACAGATCTGCTGGAGGGACTCCTTTCATGAACACATGGAGCACCACAGGAGGAGGAGGGCGAATCTGGAATATCCCATGATGCATTCCTTCCTATCTGATGGACCACGTCATTGGACAGCCAAGGGGAGGATGTCCTCAAAGGAGGTCTATTCCATAGGGGTCCTTTGGTGCAAAGGGGGAACCATCTGGGAGGCAATTTGGCTAAAGTCCAACCTGGACTTCATGAAGCTTCTGATGCCAAAACCATTTTGCAGGAACATGAGGAGGAGTGACCCACCCAGATGCAGCTCGTGGAGGCTGGGCCGCATCCCGACTGAGGGAGTGTCCCCGAGGCCAGCAGCTCAGCCCCTCAGCCACTTCCTGGCATGGAAAAGCTGGAGTGATTTGGGGGACACTTCCAGACCCAACATCACAATGCGGGACCTTATTCTGTCCTCATATGCAAACAACACCTAAGATACAACCAAGTAAATACACTAAAAGCTGGATATAATGGACTAATTCTGTGCAGGGGTGTCCATATAAAGCTGAAATTCCATTATATCTAAAGTAGTTTTCCTAACACGTATGTAAAAAATTGACAAATTAGTCAGTCTCCCCGTCTCAGCGGCCTGGAGTGAATGTATCTCTGACACCAGCTGCAATCAGGGTGGAGACACAGGGAGTGAGGGGCAAGGGTCCAGGGGTGGAGTGGTGGGGGTGCTCTGTCCCCGGGGAGGCCTGACCTTGCTGTAGCCCACAGGCCACACTCTGCCTGCTCTGAGCTGGTCTGACCTGCACTTACTCGGCTCCTGAATTCCAGTTGATATGCCCTCCCTGGGACATCACAGGATGCCCAATTGGTGCCCAGGACTGTGCCCTTTCTAATCCATCAAGGTCAACTCCCGTGCTCTCTCACACCTTCCTGGTGCAGGCTGACATCACCTGCTCCATCCTTAGCCAACCATAGAGAATCTCACCCTCATCTGACTTCAGGTGTTGAGAGGCCTCATCATGGAGGTCCATGCCCCCGGCTAGAGTCACCCTGAGCCTGACCTTGACTCAGGCCCATTATAACATAAGCTGAGTTTCCTTGTGCCTCATCCTCACCCCATGTTCCCAGCACCAGTAACCATGCTTTGAAGGGTGTCCCAGGCTCCCTGATTTGGTAGGAGGAATGAACGAGATCGGGGAATTGTCAGGCTCCGTGATATTAAACTGCTTCTCTGCTGCAGGACTAGTCAGTGTCTTTCCGTAGCTAACGTGCATTGGCAGAGTTTGACAAGCGCCCCATGGGAGGCACTGTTCCAAGCTTTCCCTGACTCTGAGCTGATGGGCCAACCATGAGCCGCTCACCTGGCAATGGCTTTCCCACTGGGCTCCATGATGAACAGGGCAGTTCAATGCCTGTTGCCAATGACCACAGCCTTGGCTCCATGATTTCCTTCCCAATATTTCCATCTGTAGCCCACCGTGCCCTCCTGGGACCCTCACCATTTCTCCCTGATCCCTCCTCAGGGCCCCTGGATCCCTCTCACTCAGCCCTTGTTCCTTTCCAGGTGACAAGGACTGCATCCCAGGGGCTGGTCCTAGAGGAGAAGTTTCGACAATGGGAACCACATTCCATGGTCACTCAGAGCTGATTCAGGTGCCTGGTTGGTTGGTTGGGTGGGTAGTTGAGCGAACGATGGGTAGATGGAGTTACATGTCATAACCATCCTCCCTTTATTTCACCTTGAGAGCCTCCCCCACACAGAACACACATGCCAAATGTCAGATGAGAAATGACAGTTTATTCAGGAGAAGGGGAAACAGGGAGGGATGGCGACCTGCCCAGTCTGAGCGACCAGGGCAGGAGCCGCAGGGAGACAGTGGGGAGCGGGGGAAGGGAGTGTCTGACAGAGAAGTGTTGCCAGAAGTGGGGACTCAGGTCCTAGGAGCACTCTGAGGGGGCCACTGTCTTCTCCACGGTCTTCCCGTCGTGCGTGACCTGGCAGCTGTAGGCGCTGGCGGACTTCCAGTCTTGGCTGGACACGCTCAGGTAGCTGCTGGCCGCGTACTTGTTGTTGCTCTGCTTGGAGGGCTTGGTGGTCTCCACGCCCTGGGTGACGGGGGTGCCATTTGCCTTCCAGGCCACCGTCACACTGCCCGGGTAGAAGTCACTCATGAGACACACCAGTGTGGCCTTGTTGTTGGCGAGCTCCTCAGCGGATGGTGGGAACAGAGACACGGAGGGTGCAGACTTGGGCTGACCTGTGTGGACAGAGAAAGGGGTGTAAGAGGCAGAGGCAGAGCCCAGATGTTGGGATCACCCCCACCCCACGGACGGCCTCTGTGACTGGGCCCGTGTGTTTGTTCCCCTTGGGGACCTTCCTTCCTTTTCTGTCCCCTCTTTCTACTCTCTCCCTGCACAGCAGTCAGCCCGCACCCTCCCAGAAGCTCTTCCAAGTCATCTCTCCCATGTGACCTAGTCAAGCTCCTCCATCCGTAGCCTCAGTTTCCCTGAGTGTTACTGGGGCAAGCTCTGCTCCCTCCTCCTACTCTCCTGAGTTGAGTGTGCATTCTGCCCCCACCTCCCGAGCCCTCAGCCCAGCCTCAGGCCCCCTTCACTCACGCTTCTGGAGCCCCGGCCTCCTCTGAGGTCTGGGGTCTGCACCCAGCCGGCCAGGGTGACCCCAACAGCGTGTGGAGAGGCCCAGCCTGTGCCAGCACACAGTGGGGCCGGGACCCCTGTCTCCCTGGGGCACCTGGCTCTCCAGTGAGGGCCGGGTCCTTGCAGCCAAAGCCTGGGGGCCCCTTCTGGCTCTGCCCATCTCCCTGTGCCTGGTCCCCGGACACCAAGACCTTTCATCTCGCTGCGTTCATGGCACTGATGCCCCCGACAAGGAGCACAGAGACCCCGCAGCCCCCTCGGCACCTCTGACCACCCCAGACTGACACGGCCGCTGGTGGCTCTGAGTCCCCCAGTCATCAGCCCTGACCCTAACACCCTTGGGCTGATGGGACACCTGGGTCCCAGGAATTATGGGGCTCCAGGGTCAGTGAGTCTCTGCCCCATGGGACCCACTCCTTTCTGACCTCCATCCTAAGAGGATTGGGCTCCTGAGGGGCCAGCTTGCCCATCTCACCGTGTCTCTGTGACCCCCATCCTTGCAGCCCAACAGAGGCTCTGAGTGCTTCAGAGTGAGCCCAACCCTCCTCTCTGCCCCCCCACGACTTCCCCTCCGGCTGCCCTTGGTGCCCCCGAAGGCTGGGTCCCAGTCCCAGCCTTGCCCCCGCCTCCTGTGCGGGTTTCCCAGGCCGGAGAGCATTGAGCCCTTAGCCCAAACCCTTGGGACTGGGACTGTCGCTAAGGCTGCCCCATTGACCCTGGTCAGAACCAGCCTTGGCCCCCCTGAGGGCATCTGCCCTGGAGGAGAGGAAGGACCCCCTTTCCTAGGCCTACCCCCAGAGTCTGGGGGGCTATTGGGATTCTGTTATTGAGGTCCTCCCTGCTGGTTACCCCAAGACCAACTTGCCTTCCCCAGAGCCCACGGAGAAAGTGGGGGTCGGTCTGTAAGGCTGGGAGAGCAGAAGGAAGCAGCCCCCAGAGAGAGGAGTGACTTGCCCAAGACAGCAGAGCAGTGGGATGGGTTGGAAAAGGTGCTGAGAGCCACTTACCTAGGACGGTGAGCTGGGTCCCGCCGCCGAAGACATACCACGGTGACTGAGGCTCGGACTAAAACCCGCCGGACCAGCACCTGGGGCCTGGCCCCCGGGGGCCAGTCTGGCACAGGAACCTGCCGGGCATGACGGATGCAGGGCTGCAGCTGTGTTCTGGGGCAGGGCGGGTGGGCAGTCACCCCCCCAGAGGCTGGAGCATCCCCATGCCCGGCCCCCCATCCAAGGCAGGTGGCACCCACACCTGGAGTGACCCAGTGTGTTCTCCCTCCTCCCCAGACTGTCCTGGTCACCACCCAATCCTCAGTGCTGACAAAGACTCTGAGCGCCGTGTCCCCTCGAGGGGCTGTGTGGTGTAGCTCAGACCTCCTGGCCTCCTCCTGGCCTCCTCCTGGGGCCTCTGAGTGCTCCTTCCCCACAGTTTCCCATGTTCCAGACAAATGAACCTCTCCCTGGGCCTGTGGACACTGGGTCATTCCTGACTAATGGTGCTTCCATGTGGAGATTCCCTTCCCTTTGTCTCCATACATTGAGACACAGTGTAGTTCCACCTCTTTCATGAAGCCTTTTCTGAGCTCTCAGACCACTGTCTTTCCATCAGTCCATCTGTCCATCCATCCATCCATCCATCCATCCATCCATCCATCCATCCATCCATCCATCCATTATCTGTCCATTCGTCCAACAATGGCTCCCAACTGTTCCATGTCCTGGGACATGATTGGGACCCCTCTGGCTCTCACCCCATCTTTCCTGGAACCTCTCAGGTCAAAGCCAACAAGACCCTCATCCTGGTCAAGTCCGAGGTCCGGCCTCAGTCCCTGGACATCTCTGCCAGAGGTTCCTCTTTCTGGTGACTGTCCTCCCCTTGGTGTCTGACATCACCCACTCTCGCTCTTTCTCTCTCCCATGACTGTTGACCCCACCCCCCCAGAATCCCGTTCTGCCTGTACTCTCCCTCTCTCTCTGCCTCTGCCCCCACACTGTGCACTCCAACAACTGTCTAGGGGTCTCCCTTCCCTATGTCCAGCCCGGACCTCTCTTTGTGGCTTTAGGTTCACAGGTGCTCGGCCTCACGAACTCTTCTGGAACGCCCTGCAGGCACCTCAGACTCCACAGGCCCCATAGACTCTCCTCACACTCCCCCCCCGCATCCAGCAGGCTTCTCTCCAAGCCTGGAGTCACCCCACAATCCGTTCCCCTCATGGAATCACCCTCTGTGTTAGTCATCCACCAGAAAACAAAAGCCCATGAAGATACACAAATAAACACAAACACCCAAGTCACACTCTACGAGTCAGGATGGCAAGAGTCCTCAGGCTCGGCCTGATCTGATGTCACCTCCCCATGTGGCTTATCTAACGGGGAAGCGAACCCGTTGCCCTGGGGCCAGCATTTTCCACCTGAGCAGCAGCGTCACTGGGTCATGGGTGCATGTAAGATGCGCACGTAAGATTGTTTGAAACAACATTTAATATAATATGAATATAAATGCCACCCTTGTTTCTGACTTAAAGGAAGCAAAACACACAGCTTCTAAGCAGGTTGATTATCTAAGGAAACTTCCTCAACTCCATACAGTGTATCTCCCCACATTTACAGCAACCCTCATACTTAAAGGCAAATTCTTCATAAAAGAATTCTACAGATTCCCACCAATGAAATGAGATGGGGGGGGGGAGGTGCAAGTAATAGGAAAAAAGAGAGAACATGGTTCTTTGCAGGTGAGGAGAGAGTCTACTTAAAAAAAATAAAGCCCACGGAGTCAGATGAAGAACTGTTAGACCTAATCTGAGTTCAGTGAAGTGGCCCAATACAAGGGCCACGTGCGAATATCAGTCGTTTTCCCTTCTACACAAGCAGTGACCACTTGAGACATGAGTTGGGGGACATTTTACAGCTTCAAGCCACATGGTCTTTCAAAGCCTTAGGAATAACCGTAACAGGAAATGGGCAAGGTCTGCAGAGATAAAGTGTGAGGCAATGGGCTGGAAGACACCATAGCAGAGTGAGTGCGTAGGGGCCGACCTCGTTCCTGGAGGGAAATGCTGGGCGTTGCACAGTCCACCAAATTACAGGCACCAAACTCGGATTATGAAAACGAGCGAATTGTTTCTAAAACCCAACAGCGAGAAGGATGATAGAGAGTAGGCATGGCTGTTTTGAAAAAATAAATTATAACCATGGCCCCAAACATCCTGTACAGCTACGACAATTAAAACAGGTGCAATGGATATGGGATCGGATCATTAGATCACTAGAACCGTAGGGAGAGTCTGATAAACCAACGGGTTGGTGTTTGATAGAAGGCGCGTTTATATTCAACAAACAGGGGACGACCGGCTCCCCATTTGGAAAATACAAAAGGTTATGTCCTCACCGACATCAAAATAAACTCCAGCAGAAGTAAACACAAGCGAACAACCCCCCAAACACGGAAAATACCAGCATAAAATAGAAACCCGATCTGATAATATTGAAACAAAGATGACTGCCATGCTTGTCACGGATCACAGAAACCATAAAGAAAAAGTTACACCACTCTGACATATAACAATTAAAAATGGCTTTACGGCAAAACACCCCATTAACCAGAGGCATACAACAACTCAGGGGAGAGTATTTCCAGCATAGAGACTGAACAAGGAGGCTGATATCTCAAATACGGGAAGAGTGTCTATAGATCTATAAGAACACACAACCAACTCAATGGAAAACCACAACAACAGGTAAAATTATGGCCGGCAAATTCGCAAAAGACATAACACCAGGCAATAAAAATAGGAACAGAGAATAAGTTTGATCCATGATCAAATAAGCAAACACATTCTCATTTTGCTCAGCAGATGGGCAAAATAGACAGTGGCTGTCGAATGGGTTTTAGGGCAAGATGTGGAGAAATGGTAAGCAGAAACGCTCAATTTTCACTCTATAGACCTCTGTGCTTAATCTTTTTTTAACAACACGTTACTCTTGTATTAACATTATTTTAGGAGCTAAAAATGAAATAAATCTCCTTGTGAACATTTAATAACTACAGATCATTGTGAAGCGAACATTAAAATTAGGCAAAATCCCACCGACCAGAAACATACGCTGACATTTTTTCTACATTTTCTGACAAGCCTTGGAAAATGCACTCATATTAAAAAGTCCAATTGCGCCCTGGCTGGCCTGGCTCAGTGGATAGGGCATCGGCCTGGGGACTGAAGGGTCCTGGGTTTGATTCTGGTCAAGGGCACATGCCTGGTTTGTGGGTTCAATCCCGGGGGGGGGGGGCATGCAGGAGGCAGCCGATCAATGATTCTCTCTCATCATTGATGTTTCTATCCCTCCCCCTTCCTCTCTGAAATCAATAATAATAATAATAATAATAAAAGGCCCAATTGGGAGCATTCTGTATATCTGGCACCCTAGACATCCTTTTAAAAATGGAATTTGCCATATTACTCAAGATGCTTCAGAAACATAATTTTATGCAAAATTCCACATGATGGATGCTCCATGCTGTCATGATTCCCACTTTTCTGTGGGATGTTTAGGTTCTCTCTCATCATTAACAATGCTGGGCTCATCATTTTTTGTTAAACCTTTGGTTATATCTTTGATTATTCCCCACCCCGAAAGGATGAGTTCCTAGAAGTGGAACCACACAATATAAATAAATACACTTTCCTTTATGACGATATAATGGTTGTCCATCTTAGTCTCCCATGAACAGTCTATGAGAGAGCCGGTTCCTCCCATCAACCCCTGCTACCGTCATTTCCAATGCACTGGCCAATGCCATAGGAGAGTTTTAAAAAATATATTTCTATTGATGTCAGAGAGAAAGGCAGAGGGAGAGAGAGATAGAAACATCAATGATGAGAGAGAATCATTGATCCGCTGCCTCCTGCACGCCCCGCCCTGGGGATCAAACCCGCAACCCAGGCCTGTGCCCTTGACCGGGAATCGAGGTCACAGCGTCCAGTCCTGGGACTCCTTCCTGTCCTGGGGCTTCGGCCCCCTCTCTGGGCCTCTATCCCTGTCTGGAAGACGGGGATGACACCAGGGCCTTACGGGGACCCTGAGAGGGAGGGCCTGCCCCTAAAATGATGGGTACATCCTGCCCCTGCCTCCCAGAGGACTGGGGTGAGGAGAACGAGGCTCTAGTCTTAGGTGCGAAATTTAAGGGGTGCCCAAAGCCTCAGTCATCGAGATAAATACATTTTAATAAAACACTAAACAAAAATCAATGCTAATAAATCCACAATGGACAAAATGCCAACTCTTTATATACAGCCAGCGTCTGCCCAGGCCCCCGCTCTCCACCGACCCTCCCTTCGTCCACCTCTCCCCCATGGCTCATGGGCTCCTTACCTGTCCTTCAGGCTCCGAGGGCTGCTTCCCACCGGGTCTTGGGGGCCTGGGCCCTGCTCCGAAGCGCTGCTGGTAGGGGCAGCAGCCATGGGTGCCCACAGCAGGCCCAGCGGCCTCAGGGGCCAGCGCTGCTTGGGGCCAGGGCTCTACTCCCCGGAGTCCTCATGGCCCACTTGGCAGGTCCTGGGCCTCATCTGCCTTCAGGGTCAAGGGCACCTCCGGCCTGATCCTCAGCGTGAGCTCCCAAGGGTCCTGCAGGGCTTGATCGACCCCCTTCACTCCAGGAGTAACGTCAAGTTCATGAATGTTGAAACCATCCAGACCTAGGTCACCTCTGGGCCTCAGTTTCCACATTTGTGAAATGGGTGCTGTTGGCAGGTGCCCCTGGTCCTCACTGGCAGTGGCCATCCCCGTGTGCCCTGGCCCGAATGGCCCCATCTTCTGCCTGGGCCTTCTCCGGTGCCGGCCCCCGTGCGGGTCCTCTCCGGGGTGGTTACCCCGGGGGATCCTCCTTAGAGTGGCATCTGCCAACTGCTCTGCTGTGGTTGGAATCAGAGCTCAACCATCTCCCACAGTCACCCCTGCTGGCCCCGCCCCTGGGGTGCTGGGTGGGGCACACCTGCTCCTGCCCTCATTCTCTGGTTCCCCAAGGGCCTCTCTGGGCTATGGAGCATCTACCTCGGGCCTGGAGGGCAGCCAAGTGCCCAGTGGATGAGGAATTGAATTCCTTGCGGTGGGCCTGGGGCTGCTCTTCTGACCAGGCCCCCAGGCTGGGCCCCTGCACACTCCACGCCTGCCAGTCAAGCCCGGCCCTTCCTTGGCTGGTCTGGTCAAGCCTGGTAAGTTTGGTCAGCTCCTGGGCTAGGCCAGGGCCCGGTAGGGAATCATCCGTCCCCCTCTCTCCAGGAGGAGCGTCAAGCTCAGGGATGTTGGAACCACCCAGACCCAGGTCACCTCCGGCCTCAGTTTCCTTGTCTGTGAAGTGGGGAGAGCTCTCTGCAGCAGGAGGGCCCGAGGGTGAATGGGATCATGCATCTGCTAAGCGCCAGCACAGAGCAGGCGTTGAACCAATGCCGGTTCCCCGTCCACCTCTCTTACTTGGGCTTCAGAGCAGCTCCGCAGTGATGGCGATCCTTTTGAGCTCGGCGTGTCAGCATTTTGAAAAACCCTAACTTAACTCTGGTGCCGTGTCCCATATAGATTTTTTTTTGATATTTGCAACCATAGTAAAACAAAGACTTATATTTTTGATATTTATTTTATATATTTAAATGCCATTTAACAAAGAAAAATCAACCAAAAAAATGAGTTCATAGGTTCGCCATCACTGTCCTAGTGTGTCCTTGAGCCAAGTGTCCCCATTCTACGGGTGAGAAAACGAAGGCCCAAGAAGACGAATGCAGGATCCAAGGCAGCTCCAGGGTGCAGGGTGAGCTGGAACCTAGCAGTGACCTTGTCCCTGCACTTCCAGCCCTCACCACCCGGAAGGCTTGTGCTCTGCTCCCCGGGGAGCCCAGGTGTGGGCTGTGCTGGGCAGGGTGCAGGCGGGATGCGCTGCCCAGGTGCTTGGGGTCGGGGCTTGTTTGAAAACCCAGGAACATAACACATAATGTGACGATGAGAGTGACGCTGCTGTGTAGCCCCGACAACGGGGTCTGCTCCCTCTGAGCTCAGGTGACCTCCCCTTTCGAAGATGAGACATTTCTGTTCAAGCAGCTTCCTACTTCCTGGGCGCCACGCAGCCAGGAGGCCTGGCCCTCGCACGGCTCCAGGGCGTGCTTTGTGGGTCTCCGCAGGCTCACACTGCTGGTGTCTGGGAGAACTCGGGTGGTAGGTTCCTGCCTGTCACACCCAGCACCCACCCGCTTGCTTTCCAGTTGCCTTTGGGCCACAGGATCCTTCATACGTCCGCTCAACTCCGGAGCTGCAGTCCCTAGGGCTCCTGGTTTTCTGCTTCAGCAACTACAAAGGGGACCCCAGCCCCCAACAACCTTGACTTTCCTGGGAGGTCCCTGGCCCATGTTTTGAGTCAGGTACTCATGAACTCTCCTGCTGCCCTTGGTGAAAATCAACCCAGATGTTTCCATGGGAAGCGGTAACACATTGCCTGGGACTTCAGTTTCTTGGTGTGGACAACGGTTGCTGGGAGACCACTGTCTGAAGGTCTCTTCGCATCTGCACGTCTCGTGAGCAAAGGCACCGATTGCCCTTGTGTTGGACCATCTTTTCCAGGATGCTTGTAGAGAGGGTGTGTCTCTCTGGAGCAACATGTGCTTACCGGCCGGTATGAAAGATTTGGGGTCCCCCAGCTTGGATGTGCGGCTGTCACCTGGCCCTTTTTACAGCATCTTGGGGGTGCTCAGAGGACTGATGTAGGACGCTGATATTTCAACTAATATTCTTGATGACACTGATACTCTAGGTACGTAAGTAATGAACTATGAGCAACAGAGTGGCCTTGGTCTCTGGCCCAGGAGTCTCGTGTCTCCGGCCAGCACCCGGGAATCTACGGCAGGCTTGCTTTTCAGCCTGCAAGTAGTCAAAACTCTCAGACTTTCTACTGCTCCTGACAAGGGCAATAATGAGCAGGAAGGAAGAAGTCAAGCTGATGGTGATCAGGACTTAACGGTTTGACCAAACTCATCAGAGCAGCTTTCAAGGAACCCCAGGCTGGATCTTCCCACTCCCCGAACACAGCTCAGGCAGCGTCTGGGGGATGAGGTCCAGAGCTCAGGGCTGGACCGCACAACACCCGCTCCCCTGGCCTGGGAGATGGTCAAGGCACCGAACAGTGACAGGGTGTGGGCGCCAGGGGGCCCCCTGATCCAGTGCGGCTCCTCCCCATTTTGGTGCTTGGCTCTCTTCAGCCTCTGACCTCGGGCTCCTGGTACCTTGGGGACCAGGGGTTCCACTGGAATTGTTCCCTTCCCATCACCCACTGCTCAGAGCCCAGAAGGTGTGCTTGCCCCGGGGACAGCCCCGGAGCTTGGGGGGGAGAAGGGACTGTCCCTAAATGCAACATCCCCAGCTGCCCCCCTCCCCCACCCCAGCACCTGCCATGACCCCTGGGCAGACACCACCACAGACCACATCCTCCTGCGGTGGCTGCGGTCGGAAATCCGAGTCTGGCTGGACCCTGGGGACCCTCGAGGGATGGCCTGGGCTTTCCCAGCGGGTACAGCTGCAGCTCTGTCCCACCCAGGTCTGCTCCCCACCCCCTCCCTAGCCTCCTGCTCATCCTCCATCCCACAGGCCCCACAGACCCTGCCTGAGGCGGTGGGCTCCTCTCCCCGGCCCAGGTCTCCCCAGCTGTCAGCGCCCCTCCATTCCCAAACTCAAGCCACTGGCCCCTCTCACCTCACCTTGAGAATGTCATTGTCTTTCCCGTGGGGGTCGGGGAGAGGGTCTGGGGCAGAGGGTGTCACAGGATCCATCTAGGGATATGACAACGGTTCTGAAATCTCTGAGTCCCTCTGAGGGGTCCCCAGGAGGCGACAGAGAAGATGCTGGCTCCTCGAGAGACCCTGGGAGTGCAGCCCCCTCCAGCAAATGGGGGGAGAATACCGCTGGTTCCCTAGAGAACAGGGACTCACCCACCTGGTGGGGGTCCTCCAGCTTCTGCTGATGAGAAACTGGCACAGAGAGGGCGAGTTTCTTCCCTAAGACACACAGCCACCTGGTGTGAAGACCATGTTCTGGGGCCAGCGAGACCTGGGAGGTATGCACCTTTTTTGGACGTGGGGTGGGGCCAGCCTGGAACTGGGGGCTTTGGGAAATGTCAGTGCTTGAACCTCTAACTCTCCAGGTCCAGCTGCCCGAAGTGCAGCTGGGAAGGAGAGATTCCAGGAGGGGGCAGCAGAGACCAGCAGCAGAGGGAGGCAAGGACCCAGAAAGGGCTGGAGCTCCAAGGGGAAGGCAGGCAGGAGAGCACGGGAGGCGCCCTGGAGGGGTGGAGGGGTGGAGGTGGGGGAGGGCTGGGGGAGAGGGGCGGGGATGCAGGACCCCAGCACCCACCTCACCCCTAGAACTGGGAACGGGTGTTGGGAGAGGCAAGTGAGGCGAGTGGTGCCTGTTTAGGAAGGATCCTGATTTTCCTTCACGTTTGGATGTTTATTCTTCATGGAATATATATTTTAAAATATATTTTTATTGATTTCAGAGAGGAAGGGAGCGAGAGAGAACGAGAGAGAGAGAGAGAGAAACATCAATGATGAGAGAGAATCATTGATTGGCTGCCTCCTGCATGCCTCCTCCCGGGGACCAAGCCCGCGAATCGGGCACATGCCCTGACCTGGAACTGAATGCGGGGCCCTTCAGTCCGCAGGCTGACTCTCTATCCACTGAGCCAAGTCGGCCAGGGCTCATGGAATATCTATTGTATTAATTTCAATTTCAAAAAATATCGCCTTAAATATGACTCTCTCAGTGACTGGGTTTTTGGAGCCGGGCACTCTCCTTCCACCTCCTGGAACTTCTCACGGCTTCTGAGAGGAGAGAGGGAGGAGCAGAAGCTGGAGAGGCACTGAGACAACCCGGGGCTCAGCGAGCGGGTGGGGGCACCTCTGGAGCCACCAGTGCTGACAACAGTCTCCAAACTCAGACTCGCCCCCACCTGACACTTCTCAGCCCGAGACAGAGGCTCAAGGGCTCTGAGAAGCTGCTGAGTCCCCCAGGCCTGGGGAGGGGAGCCCAGGAGGACTCCTGACCCTGAGGCCCTGACCTACAGCTGCTCAGACAGCGGGTGAGCGTGGGCACCAGGCCCGGCGGGCAGGTTTCTGTCCCACTTCCCCATCCGCCTGTGTCACTGTGAGCATTACCACTGTCCCACACCTGACAGTAATAGTCCGCCTCGTCCTGGGCCTGGGCCCCGCTGATGGTCAGGGTGGCCGTGTTCCCCGAGTTGGTGCCTGAGAATCGGTCAGGGATCCCTGAGGGTCGTTTGCTATCATCATAGATGACCAGCACGGGGGCATGGCCGGGCTTCTGAATGGTACCACTGGACATTTTTACCCCCGATGTTGTTCCCC